GACTTGAAAAATGTGTTATACTATCCATCCATACTATCCATCCATGAGGAAAAATGGAAAAAATAGAAGGAATAGATCTGGGAAATTGAAACATTGTGAAAGCATTAGCAAAGGTTGATGGTTACAAATACCTAAGCATATTGGAAGCAGATAACATATTGAATGGAAAAGTCAAAGAGTCAATGCAAAAGGAATATATCAGGAGGGTCTNTATTATTATTATTATTATTATTATTATTATTATTATTATTATTATTATTATTTTCAAACTGTCCCATAATATTTATACAGTGGCCATTTCAGATATTCCATCCACAGAACAGGTTAGATTGTAAAATCAGGTTAGTCACAAGCTCTTTAAGACCCATCACAAGTTACATCTATGGTGGGCAGGCTCCAATAATGGTCCTAATTTGAGATTAAACTTCTGAAACATGATTGTGAAGACGACTAAACACTAACACTTAACCAAGAGATTAATAATATAGATCATATTGATGCACTTTTCTTGCCAGACCAGACATGTTGACCTTGGTGGGTGGGGTAAGTTACCTGAAAATCGGTAAAGTACCTTTGGTTGCACCTTGAGTATTCAGTGTGCTGTTTTTACCTCATTGTTTTAATTTATTTATCATACCTCTATGCCATCCTTCTCACAAAGCATGATTCTGCAAGGTGTACAATGAAAATACAGAATAACAAGAGTTGGAAGGGACCTTGGAGGTCTTCAAGTCCAACCCCTTGCTCAAGCAGATCGTATACCACGGCTGTCCAATTTCTTCTTAAAAACCTCCAGTGTTGGAACACCCACAAGTTCTGAAGGCAAGCTATTGCACATCATCAAATCATAAAGTAAACAATAAAATTCTACAATTAGAAATGTTATGGCTCATCACAGTCAGCCGGATATTTAGACTGGATTTGACATTTTTATCCACTTCTGGAGGGCTTCCCAAGGATTTGGGATGTCAGATGTTGTTCTTTAAAGTGATCCTTGAGGATAGAAGGTATTCCAAGCAATGCTGCCTTTTGCAATTGACTAATGGTGGATTTTTATCAATGCCAATGTTGTACAAGTGGGGCTTCTTTTTAGGGATCGCACCTAAAGTCCCTGTGACTATTGGAACTACCTTTGGGGGTATTTTTTTTTTTGCCACAGTCATTCTATTTCTATCTGCAGGTCTTTGTATTTTGTTACCTTTTCCACTTCTTTCTCTATGTTGTTGCTGTTACCGTTATTATTGCAAACATTTATTCATTAAACATGGAACTCAGTCCACTGAACGTTTAAAAATGTATCACAAATATAATTGATTGGCACTGAGGGTTGATTAGGGTTGCTGCCAGCATCCTAGGTATCAACTAAGGATATTTTTAAAAAGTATGTATGTATATTGTTGTTATTACAGACTAAAGCAGTGTTTCTCAACCTTGGCAACTTGAAGATGTCTGGACTTCAACTACCAGAATTTCACAGCCAGCAGTCGCTGGCCGCGGCATTCTCGGACGTCTTG